TCCCTGGTGGCACAGGGGTTAAAGTCTCAGCCCTATCAAGCTGTCACCAGCCACTGCGGCTTGAGGGCCTGAGTTCTAGTCCAGCCAGGGAGCTACCCACATGGCCCAGCAGACCTCTCCTGTCTCCCTGCTGCTCCCCTCAGCCATGGATTTCAGTAGATCTGCCTGTTCTGCTCCCCACTCTGTCTCTGGTGAATCCTCTCACTTCTGACACCTCTGGCCTGCACCCCAGCTTTTGTATGCTTACATAAATAAAATAAATATTTTTAAAAAATCATCTCTGTGCTATAATCTAGAGGACCAGTGAGACAAATAGTTGTTCATAATAAATGATAAAAAGAGATGCATGATTCCTGTGGAACATTTTACTGTTTACAGAAAACTTTAATATGTGCTAGGACACCTTCACTTATCACATGCTTTATTATTAATTTCATATCATAAATAGAGAAACAGAGGCCAGATACAAAAAAAAAAAAATTAAGTTACTCGTTCAAGGTCACAACAGGCATTATGGGAATTCAGATAATAACAGCTGACCCCTGCCCCGACCATCTGACTCCACACCCCGAACTCTTCCCCATGGTCTCTCTGTAGCACCCCTGCCTGGATCCCTGGGGTCCTCAGGGAAAGGGAGGATTGAAGTGGAGCTGCCCAGCGCCCCTTCAGTGGCTGACCTCCTGAAGCTTGGCGCAGGCCTGGCAAAGCTGCCAGCCTGGTCCTGCCCTGACGGCACATCAATGGGCTTGGGAACATCCACTCACAAAGCATCCAAGATGCTGCTGCCAAGCGGCTCAGAAGCCTCTGGAAAGTGGGCCTGACACTGCAGGGCATGGATAACGAGGTCCCCAAGCAGAAAAGCCCAGCAATATCACCCCCCCCCCCGCCCCACCCCAGGGACTTGCCTCCATCAAAACCCAACCACGGGATTAAAAACCCAGGAAAGCAAAGCCAGGTTCACCCCCTGGGACGGCAGGCCCCTGCAGGAGGCGCTCCTTCTGTGGGCCGCTTTCCTCTGTTTCCTGTGCTTAAGACAAAATGCTTTACCTCGCGCTGGCTCTGCTTTCACTTGCCACCAGCCAGACAGGAGGAAGCACAGGAGTCTTCTGCTTTTGCGGCTTATTCTTTATCTTGCCACGGTGGCACACATTTTTGAAATTACTGCACTTTGCAATTATTTCCAACCAGCCGAGGGCCGGCCCTGAATCGTGTGTCTGAGCCCAGGGGCTGGAGCCTGTTGCTGCTCTGTCACAGGAGCCCTCCCTGCCATCCCTGGCAGAGGGCAGCCTTCTGGGAGGATGCCAGCCACGCCATGACACTGAGTGGCCAGCCAGCCGTCAGGCCCTAACACAAAGCACAAGTGGGTATTGGCTTATGGTTTTACTGAGGGAGAGAAATAATATTAAATACAAAACAATATTAAAATATGTCATATGAAGAGCTGCAGAGACTTCGCTTAGCACAGAGTATGGCCGATGCAGATCAGTTCATCTGGTGACTTTGTTAATTACCACGAAGGCCAGGAGAGTGGGCTGGGGGCTGGGATGGACCCCAAGAGCCAGGAGAGGCAAGTGTGTTGCTCCTTGGAAAGAAAAAAGGCAAAGAACAGACTGTGTGGCTTCCTTCCCTGCTTTTAGTGACGCTCCATTCCTTCCAAAGGGTGGCGGGCTCGTGGGTGTTGCTTCATTCTCCTTTATCATGTACACGTGCGTTCCCTAACCGAACAGCAGGCATCAAATATTTTGACTCGAGAACGAAAGTTCTAGTAAGCTAGTAACAACAGGATCGGAGTTATCTTGGTTCCAGAGACAGAAGACAAGAAGGTGATGGGGGAGGCGTCAGAAACCCTGCAGGATGGGATTTTTATTCTGGAACCCTGGAACCAGCAGTGAGCACAGAAAAGCAGGGTCCTCTCAGGGTAGATTTTCTACCACACGAGGGTTCAGAATGTCATTTCTCATTTCTGACCTCCAAGAACAGAGTCTTCCTCCTCCCTTTTTTAAAAGATTTATTTATTTATGCATACAAGAGCTGGGGTGCAGGCCAGAGGTGTGGGGGGTTGAGAGGAGTCACCAGAGACAGAACGGAGAGCAGAACAGGCAGACTGACTCAAATACACTGCTGAGGGGAGCAGCGGGTGAGTCAGGAGAGGTCTGCTGCGCCATGTGGGTAGCTCCCTGGTCAGGGATGGAACTCGTGCTGCCGTGGCTGCGGAGAGCTTCATAGGGTTGTGCTTAACCCCTTGCACCACCAGGAAGGCCCTTTCTCCTTCCTTAATCCCAAGCCCATCCACAGAGAGACCTTCAGTGTACCAATGAGTCAGTTACCCTTTGTTGATGCAAGACCCCCAACCCTGGACTGGACCATGTGTTTGTGGGTGTGGTGGATGATTTTAGGAAGGACTTGTGCTGAAAGGGGAATCTGACTGATGACAAGGCCATTTTCACAATCAGTAGAGAACCACGAGGCCCTCGTGAGTGACAACGTCAGCATCCAGACAGAGGATCCGTAGAGGCCCTTGGGGGATGCTGTGGGCCAGCGGGCTACAGCGGTGAGGGTCATGTCTCGAGAACAGGGGGCAAGATCTGTGGCTGTGGTCCTTAGTGCATGGGTGAGTACCCGCCTCGACAAGGTGTTCCTGTTTGTGGGATATTACACACACACACACACACACACACACACACACACCACAAATTTGTATAACCATGCAGTCACCCACGGTCCTTCTTAGGACGCTACCTATTATTCGACATGGTGCTCAAACACAAAAATATGCTTTTTTTTGAAATGAAAGTCATAATAAGTGGTTTGGAAGAAGCTTTCTTAAATTGATTCCTCTCTTAATCTATTTCCAAGATCAACCACCACGCTTCGGTCTCTTGCTGAAACACATTGACCAACGACTGTGACAACAGGCAGAGTCTTCTCTCGAAGGCTCCTTCTCATTGGTTCTGACCCACTGAGGTTCTTGTTTAACAGTCAACTAGATTTGGGCCCAAACTTGTCCAGGTGGGAGATCCACAGACGTTACAATTTTGCAATTTAATTACCTGAGTCACCAACTAATCAGTTAAGACTCGTTTGATAGAAAGACTGCCTGCAGACCAAAAAAAGCTGTTATTTCTACAAAATCTAATGTGAATGCTTTGGAAAGAATTAGTAAAAGCATGCCCTTAAAAAATGCTGTCAAATTGAGTAAGAAAACTGATATATTCAGAGAAAAATACAAAAATGGGGCAGGATTTTGCAATCTGATTGCACCATAAAAGTCTAGAATGTCTTGCTCCATGTGAAAGAAACAGCAACTAGGCCTTATGTCAACACACTGAGCATGTGTGTGTACAGGGAAGGCAGGGGCCCCTCCTTCAGCAAAGCTATAAGCAAAGAAAAAGTCTTAAGTGTACCTCAAAATACTAGCAAATGAATGCACATTTAGATATTTCGATAAAACACTTAAATAAAGATCACTTGTGTGATTCCTGGAGTTAACCTTTTTTTAAATTGTTTTATTTATTTTTTTACACTGTCATTAATTTTGGGACAGTATTTGGCTTCATCCCTCACGCGTAGTCCCCTAAGCTCTGTCCCCACCATGGCACCCGTGCGCCATCACCGCAGTCCCCTGTGCTCTGCCCTCCCCTGTTTTGACCCCCCCTCCCCTGCTGATGCCTCAGATCTAGGGTCAGCTTGCAAGTTTTGCCTTTTTCCTGATTCTTTGTGTAGTGTCTCTATATTCCACATAAAGTGAGACCATCCAATATTTATCTTTTTCCTTCTGACTCAGCATAATCCCGTCCAGCTCTATCTGTGTTGCCACAAATGGCATAAGTTTCTCTTTTGATGGCTGAGTAGTATTCCATTGTGTATATATGTCACATCTTGATTCATTCATCTGTTTTGGGGCATTTAGGTTGTGTCCATGTCTTGGCTATTGTAAATAATGCTGCAATAAACAATAAACATAGGAGAGCAGGTTTCCTTTCAAATTAGCATTTTATGTTCTTTGGATTGGTTTCTAGGGGTGGAATTGCTGGGTCATGTTAGTTCCATTTTTAGAATTTTGAGGGTCCTCCACACAGCTTTCCATGGTGACTGGACCAGTTTACATTCCCACCAGAGTGTAAGAGGTTTCCTTTTTCATCTTCTTCACATCCTCCTTGTGCTTTTGATTTGCATTTCCCTGATGTCAGACTTAAGCTTTTTTAATGCACTGACCAATCACTAATTCCAGTGACAGAGGATAAAAATGCGCCTACCTTGAGCTAAATCCTGGTCTTCCCCATATTGCTAGATTCATGTCAAAAGCTTCATGGCAAAATCTTCTCTAGCATCTGTGATAGATTGCCAGAAAAGATGAATTCCCTATTTATAGTTTCTATTTGATGCTGGCTGCTAAAACCTCAGCAGTAAAGTCACTTTATGCCCAGGAGCTCATGGGGCCTGGGATGCACTGGTCCAAGACTGTATGCAAGTCTCGCTATTCGCCTTCAATGTGTCTAACATTGCTCTCTGCTTCGAGCCCTTCCACCGAAAGCTCCAGAAGCACTTCTCAATAGTCGAGTTTATTTTTTTTTTAAAGATTGTTTATTTATGCATACAAGAGCTGAGGTTCAGGCCAGAGGTGTAGGGGTGAGAGGACTCACAGAGACAGAGTGAGGAGCAGAACAGGCAGACTGACTGAAACACACTGCTGAAGGGAGCAGCGGGGAGACAGGAGAGGTCTGCTGTGCCATGTGGGTTGCTTATTGGTGCTGCAGAGGCTGCGGATTGCTTCATAGTACCGTGCTTAATACATTGCGCCACTAGGGAGACCCCTTTAAACCAGGCAGGATCAGGGCCTCCCCAGTGGCACAGCAGGTTGAGCACAGCGCTGTGAATCTGTCCGCAGCCTCTGCAGCAAGGGTTGGATTCCTGGCCGGCCAGGGAGATTCCCACATGAACTGGAGGGCTGTGTACCTGCCACGCACACACATGATCCCTTCCTGTTGCTGCTGTAACAAATCACTGCAAGTTGAGTGGCTCCATGAAAACAACATAAATTTATTCACTACAATCTGGAGGCCGGAAGTAGGGAGTCAGTTTCCCTGGGCTGGAGTCAAGGTCTCAGCGGGGCTGGACATCTGGGGGCACAGGGTACCCGCCTGCAGCATTCCTGGGCTCCCAGCGGCTTGGCTCCAACCTCAGCGCAGTCACTTTGGCTCAGTCGCCTTGGCACCTCTTCTCCTGCGACCCTCCTGCCCCTCTTCTATAGGATGCGTACTGGGGGCCACTCAGGATCTTCCAGGGTGGTCCCCCATCTCTAAATCCTTGGCTTCACCACACCTGCCACACCTGATGGACAATGCTCACAGGTTTTGGTGTTGGGGCACAGATATCCTGGGGACACTATTGAGAACATCACCCAGACGCAGCAATAAATACAGGTTCATGATATAATTGTCACTGTCGTTATTATCACAGTCTGGGCAGGACCACAGCTGGTCCCCAGCTCCTCCCAAGAGGGTGGGAAGGAAAGGAAGTGGAGACCACTGTCTCATGGCTAGAAACCCCTCAGACTAGGCCCTGAGCCCAAGCCAGAGCTGGGGTGATGCTGGCCACTAGCAAGGCCTTGGTCACTCCTGGGTCCCTCGAAAGGTCCTGGGTTAGAACAGGTGAGGCAGCCGAGCTCAGGGCCGGGCTGGGGTCAGCAGGGGCTCAGCCAGCTCAGTGCCTCCTGATGGTGCTGTATTCCACGGGCTCCTCCTGGCTGCTGCAGGGAATGTGGGTGACGAGCTGCTCCGTGTTGCCGTAGGTTGGCTCTATGTTGCCGTAGGTGGGCTCCTGATCCAGGGCACCCAGAGACAGGGCTGCATAGGTAATGCCCTCCTTCTGAGAAGGACCCTGAGATAAAGACAGTGGGTGTCAGCTGGCAGGAGGCGGCGCCGGCACAAGGGGGAGTCCTCGCGGGAGGAGACTGACCCTACCAGGCTCTGAAGCCAACCCCAGGCCCTCCAGCTCCCCTGCCCTGCCCTCTGCCAGGGGCCCTGAGCTCCCCCAAGAGAGGACACCCCTCAGCCCCACACAGTGGGCCCAGGTCACTCGGCCATGTGGGTCTCCCCTGCCAGGCACGGGGACCTGGTTCTCCGGGTCTGAGTTGCCAGTGCTGAGCCCCGGGGTGGGGACACAGCCAAAGCCCAAAGCAGGAAGGGGTGAGGGGCGGGCTCCCCAGAGAAGTCTTCAGTGGCTGTGGCTTTGCTCCCCATCCTCTGGGCCCGCATGGGTGAGATAAAGCCCATCCTCACAGGGGTGGCCCAGCAGACGGCTCCCAGCCCCCCAGCCCGCAGCACACCCCTCAGTAATGTACTCCACCTGCACCTCCACCTGGGAGGAGGCCTCCCTCCTGGCAGTGCCCCTCCGATGCTGGGCCAAGTTGGCAGAGCAGAGTTCGCTCTCTGGGGTCTGGACAGGAAACATTTCCTCTGCAGGGACACCAGCCTCTCTGCCTTCCTGGTGCCCTCTGCCGGCTCCCTCCAGCACCCCCTTCCAGTCCCCACACCTGCCCCTCCCAGCCCTCATGCCCCTGGCTGTTTCCAGGGCCCCTCCCAGCCCCCCCACCCCACCGGGCCCTGCACTGGTCCAGGGGTACAGGATGCCTGGGCCCTGGGGGGCCTGCTAGTTTGGGCCTTTGTGGTGGTCCGGTGCTCTGGGGCGGGGCTGGCTGGTGTCCTGGTCTGGCCTCGGGGCTCTCACCTGCCCTGGGGAAATCCCGGAAGCTGCAAGACAAAGACAGTAGGAATCAGAAAACCCATCTGAGACTCACAGTCCCGGGTTTGGGGAGACAAACAGGAGCAAAGGGTGAGCCGGGTCCTGCTCAGGGAGGCCCCGGCCCTGCTGACCCAGCACACGCGGCCTCGTCACCTCCCCCATGCGGCCCCCGCTTCTCCCCCTGGAGAGTGAGGACCCTCGGCCCAGCCGCGGCCACGTCACAGAACCCGCCTCAGTCTCAGGGGGCCCTGCCGGCCGCCCGCAGCCCCGGGTCCTTCCCTTCCCCTCAGCCCAGGCTCAACCTGCCACCCTGGCCGGCAGCCCTGCCCGGAACCCCCAAACCCCCAATGTCCCCCAGTTCCCACTCGAGCTCCACGGACTCCTGAGCTGCCTGCGCAGCTACCGGCTGCCTCAGCCCTCCCCGCCCCCACCCCGGGCTGCCCTGGGTTTGTCTGTCCCGTCACTGACGTCCCACAGGTCCTGGGGGGTCCCCGGGGCGGTGGCTGCAGGGAGGGCGCCCTGGCGTGGCTGTGCCAGCGCAGGAGACACGGGGCCGGGGGCACAGCTGTTGGGACACAGGCGGCCCCACCTACCCTGCGGGGGGACCTGCCAGCGGGGTCTCGCGGTCTGGACCAGCTTCCCGGTGCCCCGCGGGCTCCCGCGTCTTCCTGGCCCACCCCTGCCGCCCGCCCCGGCCTCCTGCTTCCCGGACCACAGAGAAGCCTCTTCCTGCTTCTCCGCGCGGAAGTCTAGGGACCCCCCGGGCTCAGGGGTGCTCAGAGCCGGGGCCCCGGCCTGCGCGTCCGGGGGGACAGTGACGAGGAAGACCCGGCTCCTCCGCCCAGACCAGCAGAGCCCGGGGAGGGCGGCCGCGGGGCCCCGAGACAGCTCAGGCCCGGCCCGGAGGAGTCGGGGGTGGGTGTGAGAAGGTGGACGGAGCCCGCGGGAAAGGGTTGGCTGAGGCCGGAGCTCGTGCCCAGCGCCGGCCCCGAGGAGGATCCCTAAGGGGCCGCGGTCTCGGGACACGTCCGGGGCAGAAGGGGCCGGGCAGCGGGAGCAGCGTGGAGACGCCGTGTGTGCACGTGTGGTGTGCGCAGTCGTGTGTGCAGGGACACGTGTGTGCATGTGTCTGGGGGTTCTCCTCCTCCCTCCCCGCGCCCCCCCCCTCCCGTGCAGCTCAGCGCCTCCTCAGCAACCACGTCTGCTCCGCCCACAAGTCCTGGGCTCTGCCTAAGGCCCTGGTCACCTCTGCCCAGAGCCAAGCCAGGGACAGAGGAGTTGAGGCTGGGGGAGAGAGAGAGCAGAGTGAGCGCCGGGTGAGCAGCAAACAGGGGCACCAGGCCCCGGGGGCTCCTGCAGGTCCATGTCTCCCCAAAGCCCCAAAGCCCACCCTGCAGGTGGCCCGTGGACACGCCCCTTCCAGGCCTGTGGGTCACCTGTCCGGCGGGTCCCGGAGGGCAGCGCAACATCGGCCCCATCCCTCTGCCTGGCCCGGCCTCTCACCTTTCCTCTGCCGCCTCACCAGCCTCCAGGCCAGGAGCGAGGCCGCCGTCAGGACCAGCAGCAGCACGGCTGCCACCACGGGGAGGATCTTTGTGACAATTTCCCTGGAAACACAGAGGGGACCCCATGCACCCCACTCCCCCATTGGGCCTCCCACACACTGGCTGCAGGGAGGACACCACCCTTTGACCTCCAGGCTTGTGGTGTCCAGCCTGGGATGCCCCACTCCCGGGTGCCCTCGGAGAGGGTTAAGAAAAGGCAGAGAGGAGAGAAGGACCCCCTGAGGCAGTCCCAGGGGGTCTGCAACCCAAGACAAATACAGCATCAGGCTCCACAAGGGGGTCCCGGCCCTGCCCCGTGCTGGTGGAATAGTGTCCCCCATAGTCCAGGCCACTCAGACCCTGGGTGACCTCCTGGACAGGAGACCCTTGCAGGTGTCATCAAGGTGAGGAGGTCGCTCTGGGCGGGCCCCTGTCCAGTGACTGGTTCCTCATAAGAGGGAAGGAGGCCCAGGTACCCACAGGGAGAGGCCCCGGGAGCAAGAGCAGGATGGAGGGAATGCCGGGGGTCTGGCAACTCCAGAGCCAAGAGAGGGGCCGGGAACACCTGCCTCTGACCCCCAACAGGAGCCACCCCGCCCTCACCTGGCTCAGGCTCTGGCCCCTGAGTGGGGAGAGAAGGGGAAGCCCCTCAGCCTCCCCGTCAGAGGGTCCAGAGACAAGTGCCGGCCGGGACCTGGGGCTACGAGGGTCGCCCAGGAGGAGAGTGGGCACAGCGGGCACAGGACACAGCAGCATCAGAGCTGGTTTACCTGTTACTGGTTTTAGTCGAGGAGAATTTGCCCTCTTCTGGGGTGACTGGAGCTGTGGGTGTGGTGGTGGTGGTGGTGGTGGTGGACACTGTAGTGGCTGCTTGGCACAAAATCAGATACATACACTCTGCCTGCCAGCCTGCCCCAGCCCTGTGTGCTCCTCTGAGTATGGGAGTCCCTGGGGGTTGGGGGCTCAGAGCTGAACCTCTCTTGTCTCCAGACCTCCAGTAGACTCACGAGCCTGGGGGCAGGTGGGGCTGTGGAGCAGGAGGGCATCCCGCAGGCCCCAGGAGCAGAGGGGCAGGTGCTCAGGGCCAGGTAGCTGGAGTCCCCAAGCCATAAACAGCCCTGCTGCTCCTGAGTCCCCCCAAAGCTCCGTCTTTTCCTCCAGCGAGGACAGAGCAGAGCAGGGCTGCCTGGGGCCGACAGACAAGCCTGTGATTCAGGTCAGGACCACCCGAGCCCACCGTGTCCGGGGAGACCCTCACACTGGGCAAGGGGTGACCTTCTGTGACATCACTCCTTCCCAGGACGAGGTCAGGACTCCACAGGGCGTGAACCGTTGCTCTCCCAGGTCCCAAGTTTGGTGCCCCCCCCCTTTGCCACAGTGTCCCAGGGAGGTCACTGGATGGATCCCCAAGACAAGCTCCTACACACCCAGGTAGGCATCCCTGAGCTGCCTTTCCCAGGGTGTCTGCATTCTAGAAGGACTCAGGGAAAAACACCCACGAGCCCAGGTGCAGAAAGGATCAGGCACATGTCAGGCCCCAGGGGAGCAGCCCCTTGACTGTGGGGGCGTTTCCAGGTCTCAGGAATTAGTCAAGCCCCTGACTGAGCTGGGCCCTCTCCCCTGAGAGCAGATGTGGAAAATAAGGTGAAAATAGTCACTTGAGGTCCCAGCTTCATCTCCAGAAAGAGCAAGACGGTCCAAAGAAAGCACAGAAGGAGTTGGGGTCTCAGACCCCATGGAAGGGGGTCCCTTTGGCCCATGTTCTGACCGGGGCATCACCTGACCTCTGCGACCATGGACGGAGGGGCTGAGCCACACAGAGGGGGACAGTGAGCCACAAGGATCCTCCCATCCAGGAGGGGCCTGGAGCCTTGAGCATCCGGGAGAAGCCCCCCTCCCAGCACCCCCGGGTGAGGCCCCCTCCTCTGGGACAGTCACCCTGACTGACAGTGACCCCTGGGGAGGACCTGAGGGACCAGGACAGAGCAGGCCCCGCAGAGACACAGCCACACGCACAGGCGCTCACCTGGGTCAACGGTCACTGTAACTTGGGCATGAAGGTCAGCTCCGGTTCTCTCAACCCCGCACCAGTAAGTGTCTGCATCGCCCAGCGTGAGCGCCTCCATGGTCACGGTGATCGTGCGGTTCTTCTGATGGTCCCTGATGGACATGCGGCCCTTCTTCACCTCCTGCTCCGAGCCGGTGGTTCTAATAAGGATGTTGCAGCTCCCCCAGGCAGCCCCTTGACACCAATACTTCACATAGGTCTCGTAGCCTCGGACATAGCAACACTGCACGGTGAGCGAGCCCCGCTCCCAGCCCTTCACTGCGCCTGGACCCGTGACGTCAGAGGAGCCTGGAAAACACACGTCCATGCCCCTGTGACCCCACCTGCGCACAGGCCCAGGCCCCTGCCCTACGCCTGCCCCCTCAGCCCAAGGGCGGGGAGGTGGACACAGACATGGAGGGAATGACCCCCAGGAGAGAGGCCTGTGTCCTTCTACATCCCACTGGGCAAAGCCCAGGGACCAGCACCTGAGACACAGCTCAGAGTCAGAGACACAGAGATGCTGGCCCTGAGCAATGACAGTCCCCAGATTCACACACACACCCCCATTGCCAATGAATCTATGTCCCCAGGGAGGCCCCTTTGCAACAACCCTGTGTTGTTCCTGCTGGTGGGCAGCAAATCCCAGAGGACCCGCCTCCCCAGAAGAGGCCTGTGCCCACTCCGCACCAGGGCCTGGTGGGTGCAGCTGATGCCCCTGCATCCCTGGAGTGGGGGTGCCCCCGTGGCTCTGAGCTCCTAGGGGTTCCCTGGGAACCCATCACCTTAGATGACACCAAATTGTGGTGCTCAGTGGCCACAAGAGCTGTGGGTCCATGTCACACAGAGGCATGTTCCCACTGAATTGTTTTGATTCCTTTATCAAAAAATAAATATGTAAGTTACTTATGTTTTTTAGGACTCTGTTGCATCGATTCATTTGTCTATCCTTATGCCAACCCCTTCTGTCTTTTTTTTAAAGATGTATTTATTTATGCATACAAGAGCTGGGGTACAGGCGAGAGGTGTGGGGGGTGAGAGGATTCACCAGAGACAGAGTGGGGAGCAGAACAGGCAAATGTACTGAAATACACTGCTGAGGGGAGTAGCCAGCAAGATCGGAGAGGTCTGCTGCGCCAGGTGGGTCAGCTCCCTGGCTGGGGATAGCACTTGTGTGGTAGTGGTTGCCTGTAACTTGATAGTGCTCTCTTTAACCCCTGCACTACCAGGAAGGACCTGCCAACCCCTTCTGTCTGGAACACTATAGTTTTATAGCAAGGCAGATGTTACAGAATGTAGCAGCATTTTTTTATATGTTCTTGTTCTTCCTTTAATTTTCTTGCCTTTGAAAGATTCAGGATAGAGGATATTGTCTCTTTACTGTAAGATAAACACTTCAAAATTGATGAAAAGTGGTGACTGACTTCTAGGCCTCTTGTAAGACCCGGGGAGAGACCCCCCAGCAGAGGCAGGGCCCCCATCCCACCTCGGCACTGTCCTCAGACAAGAGCCTGGCTCCATGGTTTCAGATCTTTTAACTTCTCTGGAGTAGCCAGGAATCTGGATTGTGTATGGAATCGGAATCGGGCTCAATTTTAAAATGTGGGCTTAATTAGAAATAATAATGATATCCTGTTTGCAGCTGAACTTGGACATCAGGGCTCAACTCCACATCTATATTCATAAACAAGGTTCTTTTTAAAAAAAAAAATTATTTATTTATTTATACAAGCGCTGGGTACAGTCAGAAGTGCGGGAGGGTGAGAGAATTCACCAGAGCGGAGAGCAGAGCAGGCAGACTGACGAGGTACACTGCTGCGGAGAGCAGCAGGCGGCAGGAGAGGTCTGCGCGCCATGTGGCACCCTCACCCGGCAGCCGGGGATCAAACCGGTGCTGCAGAGGCTGCAGGCAGCTTCCCAACCCAGAGCTCAACCGCTGCGCCACCGGGGAGGCCCCATAAACAAGGTTCTTGTCTTAAATTCCTGTCCTGTCCTTGTCAAGATTTGATATTAGAGATACGCTCATTTCACCTAATTAATCTGGTAAATTTCTACCTTTTATGCTCTGATATCAGAAAATAAATAGAGGGGCCTCCCCTAGTGGCGCAGCGGGTTGAGCGCCGCACTGTGAAGCTGTCCGCAGCCCATGCAGCGCAGCTTCAACCCCATCTGGCCGGCAAGAATCCCACATGGTGCGACAGATCTCTCCTGTCTGTCTCGCCCACTGCTCCCCTCAGCAGTGTATTTTGTCAGTCTGCCAGTTCTGCTCACCGCTCTGTCTCTGGTGAATCCTCTCACCCTCCCGCACATCAGGCCTATACCCCGGTTCTTGTATGCATGAATAAATAATTTTTTTTAAAATTAAAAAAAAAAAAAGAAATAGAGCAAAGGAATTTTTGTTTTTCTAGAATCTTAAAAAACTATAACTTTATATGGCAAGTTCATTGTTGGGGCAAATTCTTTGTTTACTTAAAAATTTTTCTCCATGAATATGGACTATTCATATTTTTTACTGTTCTTGAATCAATTCAATTGCTTTGTTTTATTTTTCCCAGGTGCTCTCTATTTTGTGGAGTATTAGCATAAAGTTTGTGATTACAGTCACCGTTTATAATTAAAGTTTTTGTCTATTAAAGTTACACATCTGGATCATAGGCACTGTTACGCTTTTTGGGTTGTTTTGTTTCTATAAAGGGGCTCATCATCCCACAGCAGCCCTCCTGGGTGAGCCCCTCTATGGACGCTGAGTGGCGTGGGGTGGGGGGGTCCTGCCAGCCGTGTCTGCAGGGCTCTGGTGAAGAGAAGGTGGGTGGGTGGCCAGGCCGGAGCACAGGGCATGGTCCTGGGGCAGGGCACGGGGTCTGCGGGGAAGACCCCCCGCCTCGAGGGAGCAGGCTCCAAGCCTGGGGTCCAGAGCCCACGCGCTATGGAGCAAGGCATGTTGGGGAGCCCAGAGTGTAGGGCTCAGTCTCCAGTGGTCTCCCTGCTGTCACCATCCACATAGGGCTGGTGAGGGTGAGCTGGCGGTCCTTGGTGTGAACAAGCTCTTGGCCAATGGGACTTTTAGGTGACACTCCTTCCTGTCCATGCCCCAAAGGTCGTCAGAAGTTGCTAACAACGGGCTGTGGGCCTCATGTGAAAGAGGGGCTGTTTCCGCTCCTCCCCATAATGGTGATTTTCCAGTCCTCACATTTTTTTTTAAAGATTTTTTTTTTATTTCATTTATTTATACAAGCACTGGGTACAGTCAGAAGCACGGGAGGGTGAGAGGATTCATCAGAGGCAGAGCAGAGAGCAGAGCAGAGCAGGTAGACTGACGAAGTACACTGCGAGGGGAGCAGCGGGCAGCAGGAGAGATTTGCGCACTATGTGGGACCCTCCTCTGGTGACCGGGGAGCAGCCGGGGATTGAACCCGCGCTGCAGAGGCTGCGGGCAGCTTCGCAACCCAGCGCTCAACCGCTGCGCCACCGGGGAGGCCCTCCAGTCCTCACATTTTGTTGGTGCAGAAGGCAGTTTTTCCATTTTCAACTGTTTGGTCAAATGATGTAAGTGACCTGTCGTTCCTCACACAGCAGCTCTAGCTCTTTACTATATTCCAGAAGCATCTTTTCTGCATTTTGATGAGAAACTGGGCAGCTGCTCTGTCATTCTCGCTTGTCTTAACTCAAAAACTGATCTTAAGGTTGGTCATACTATTTGCAGTAGCAAAGTGTGCATCAGTGAGGGTTTCTCACTTCAGGGTTAAATTACACAATTGGCTGCACTGCCCTTACCGGTTAAGGGCAGTGGCGGATAAGGTCACTTTCTTGGGAGTCGCGCTGTCAAGGGTCTTTGCTGAACTGCAACATAAACTGGACAAATAAAAGTCGTAGATGCAGAAGTTTGGATGGATGCGCAAGTCTCTTCCACGCAGCTCGCCTGCACAATTTTTTTTTTTAAGATTTTTATTTATGCATTCAAGAACTTGGGCACAGGCCAGAGGTGTGGGGGAGGTGGGTTGTGAGAGGACTCACCAGAGACAGAGTGGGGAGCAGAACAGGCAGGGAGGCCCACTTTTAACGTTTTAAAGTCGAGTCATGAGGAAGGATTTCCCTTGACAGGTATTAAAACAGCATCAAACCCTCATAAGGAAAACTTGGTGATCTAGCAAGGTGAGATAAACACACAATAGAACAGTCACCAGCCTCAGAGCAAACCTGGTCTA